CCCCACGAGCCGCCCCTGCCCGAAAGGAGTGAACAGGGTATATAACTGGCAATAAAACAGCTTTGAGTGCTGTATACATGTTCCCTCTTTTGGTAGACTCTTCCATCCTCACTGTACGTTTACTTAATCAAAGCTTGCGACTGCTTACGGAGTGGCCCGATTGGGGTGAACAGGCTATTTCTGTGGCAATAAAACAGTTTTGAATGTTGTTAGGCATACTGTTCATTGGAGATTATGAACGTCTTTTTACATTTAATTTATGAGGTTTACGTCTATGGGTAAATTTGACTGCGACAATGTTTCAAAATTAAGAAAGAAAGCAGTGATTATTTGAATATATCGACATTTCGCCACTGACCCTTATAGATAAAAGTCTGTTTTGTTGAGGAATTTTGATTTGCAAAGGCTATAGTGGACTACAACTTCCGTTTCCGATAAAGCCAAGCGAGGGAAAACCCGTGAGAATAAAGACCTCTCTAAATGACCATAGCTCAAGATTGCCTAATTTGGGATTCGATCTATGGTCTTTCTCGCTACAGCCCAGAGTGACTTCCTCTGAACTAACAATACCTCTTCATGATCCAGGCGTTTGTAGCTATAGGTGTAGCACAAAACCTTAAAGCGTCTGCTTTATTTCATTGTATTTTTTGGTAAGTGTTTTACGGCGCTCGCAGCTGCATAAGGTCATATTAGCGCACGTGACACATTAAACCTTTTCAGTTTGTAGGAAATTTTAAAATTTTTTCCGGGTGGCGGCCGAAGCCTACTCTTATCGATTTTAGACCACGAAGAAATCTTAACGTGCGCAACTTGCACACGGGCCCTCCGATATTTTTCGCCTTTGTTCGACAAGGCTAGGTGTAGATCTTTCCTACCAGAAGATCAGAGATGTGGCTGAATTCCAGCAGTAAGAAGGAGCCAAGGAGTAGCAATAGAAAGGCTTCAGAAAGAGCCAGGGGCCCAGAGGAGGGGGCAAATGGAGGTGAGGAGGTTGGGGCAGAAAGAGGAGACGAAAGCAGACGACAGAACATTGCTAGAGAGCAGAAAAGGAGGTGAAAGAGAAGAAACTTTTCGGTCACTACCCGGATTTAAACCCGGGACCTTTGAATGAGAGGTGAACACCCTAACCTCTAGGCCACGAGAGCCCCCGGGTTGGCTTAAATTTTTTTTCTCCGTTGTATGACCCCCTCACACCTCACAGTACCTTTTGCAGTCTCTGATCCTCACTGCTGTTAATCTTGGCCACCCTCGCCATGTTGAGAGCACAGGACTTAAGCATCGACGTGTACACTGACCCTTTCCCCACTGGTGTGGCCGTCATCTGGCTGACCAGTCGTCTGTTGGTCATCTGAGGCATTGCTGTGGTCAGCGCGTGTCCTGGTCTCTTCTACTTAGACGGGCTCATTTAGAGCTGCTAAGAAAATGAGAGCGGGTTTTGGTTTTGATTTAAAAAATCACAGATATATAAGATGCAGAAATATACAAGGCAAAATTATTTTTTTGTAAAATTGAAAGACAGAAGACAAGGAGGCTGAAACAGTGTCTGAACATAAAGACAATACTTCTTAGTCTGTCCCCGTGGTTTTACGCACAATTTGATCATTTTTGACATAATTTCTGATTATTTTCCTTTATCATTCATTCTTTGTTTAAATTAACAGAATCGCTTAATTTCACATTTTTGGGCTCAGTTTGCATAATTTCGGAATTTTTCTGGCATAAGACGACGGGGACAGCTTAGTAAATATTTCTCAGAAATGTAGACCAAACCAAAAACGCAGTGTCGCCATCTGGGGTCAATTGTATCTTAAAAAACGTAGAGAAAAGGACGGGGGG